AAGGATACAAAGACATCTTATTTCTCATTCGTATTGGCAAGCCAAGAATACTTTAGTGTTATAAATTTGAAAACAAAAAGGAATCTTAATGTTATTTCTTATTTTAACTTTTTTTCCAAATCATTTATAAATAATATTTCTATAGGTATATCATTAGTATTTGACTCTTACCTGGTCTAAGTTAGTATCATAATTATAACTGTTCCGCTTTAGAGGTAGCAAATAAGCCGTTTTTGAATGTTACAAATTTTGAAGTACCTAACCTTATTTTGTTTTCCAATCGAACGATATGAAAATCCTATGTCCGTCTGATGGTTTACAGCTATCTCTCCACTAATTTTCAGCTAAATCATTAAAGCTATTCTTGAGTTATAGTAAAACTAACAGGATATACTTTTTTACATAAGAATTAACTTATAATTAATTGATAATATCACACTAACACAATAATAGTTCCACAAAAAGACAAGTTAAATACTTTCCTAATGATAAACCACAGCCACAACTGTGTTATAGTTGAAGAAATTCTATTAGATAGTTTAAAGGTCAATATTAAATAAAACATTAAACGTCAATGAATAGCCGATAGGATCTCAGTTTGTCCCCAGCCACATGTTCCGTACAAATTAGAGAGAAAAAAAACTATGACCCTCCAGCGGCTGCCGATATCAATGACATTTAACCCTACAATAATCGAATGCGTATCGAAACTACCTCGGGGACTACTGGGAGTAGTGTACCGACCGAATATTTAGCTATGAAATTCACCCTACTTTAAAATGTAGAAACACATCGACCATCACTCTTCATATATTACGACGCGTCTTCTTTACTTGGTTTATGATATGCGTGTAATCTAATTTGTACAGAATACGACGATTTAAACATATTTGGATGAAAATAAATTAAAATATGAATACTGTAGATATAAAAATTAAAATTAAAATGTTGAATTTCAACTGTATTGTGTTTAGTATATATGTATATGTTAATGCTAAACATTTCATATCACATATGACTTCTCCATGTCTGACGTGTTAACCCTTGCGATGCGTCGGCATATTTCCGCCCCGCGGGTCTAAACGACCCGGTAATTGATAAGTAAAGGAAAAGAAGAGAGGCCTTATACATATTTATGAGATCCCCAAAATTGCTACGGGACCCTGCGAACGACAGCACTTGCTGCTTCAGAACTCTCATTATGTTTTTAGGGTTACTTTGTTATTGTCTCTTTGATGTTCGCTTAAATCGCTAGATTTCTTTTACCGCCGGGGCTAGGAACCGGATCGTAAATAAATATACATGATAATATATTATCAGTCATTTCGTATTTATATTTCAATCAAAACTAAATTAAAATTAAATATATTTGCTTTGAAAGTTATTATATATCGTGTGTAAAGAGATCGCGATGTACAGTAATCCGTATTTACAGTAACGGGCTTGTGTTCGCGGTTCCAAGGGAAGTATATTTAAGTTAAAAACGTAAGATAACAATAACAAAGACGTCTCCGAGTCGTTATACTACGTCACTGATGTTAATATACCTCTTAGTAGCGGTTGTATTACTCTTATATGTATATAGGGATTCAGGACTTGATATATCACGTACATTTATAATATATGAAATAAGAATCGTAGGGTTCTCTGTTTGGAAATCAAATTATTATAAAATAAGTTCAAATAGATTTAAAAAATAAGATAAAACTTTTTTTAAATGGATCAAATTAGATGTGCAATCCTAGTTATCTTACTAGGAATTTGAAATTTAGAAATAAATACGTTTATTTAAGAGTTTTTTAACAATATAATTACATTGAAAGTATCGTGAAATAAGTGATAAGGTCTGTAAACTTACAAGACCTAATATATGAGATTTTAATCCTTTCTGACTTTGCATTGAAAGCATTACACAGAATATTTACACTTAATTTTTGAACAGGTATTTCTATATGGTGAAAATCTTCGTCTTTTCTCTCAATACCATCAAATCTCACATCCAACCAACGAGCTCTCCACTACAGCCACTTATAAAAGTCGTTTAATTTCCATAATTAATATTAATTCGCGTGAGATCAGCGACATCTGCGCCTCGACTTCCGACACAGCATCCGACAGGAATGATTTGTTGATAACTAAGATACGTCTCACTAACATTACGAGTACAACAGATGGTTCAATATTAATATTAAACACAAATATTACAGTAATTATATTTTATTACGTAATATAACAAAATGGCGGAATGTTCAACAACTGAATGTAATATCTAACAACTGTTTTAAATGATGTTCATTTATTAATTATATTAATTGTTAATTTTCAAAGTCTAGATCGCTCTGGTCGTTGACACGGCTCGAACACATGACACAGACTTCCTCTCAGCTAAGTTTTTTTTATTAATATTTACATCTGCTTAAACACTATTGTCGTAACATCTCGACAGTTTAATTTAATTCTTGTAATGTTATGTAGAAAAGTGATTTGAATATGATTAATTAAAATGATCATTTTTGAGAATTTTATTTATGTAATGGTTATACTTAATAATATAATTTGTTTCATTGTATTAAAAAATATATATTTTTAAAAGCTCATTTTGCTATAATAAAACAGTTTTCTAGGCGACTGTACCTGAAGGTATAATACATGTGGTCGGACAAAAAACATTCAATTCATAAATTCGCATTGCATAACAGACGGCTTCATAGCACATGTACCATTTAAGGACATAATAATACACACACACACACACACACACACACACACACACACACACACACAAACACACGCACACACACACACAAACATTAATAAAGTACCTATATTAATTTCTACAACGAAAGAAGCAAAAGAAAAATGTAAATTAACATAGTGTTAACTTTTAACGGACGTTTAATAATAATAATTAATAATTTGTACCGAAAAATTATATTCCAACGTTTTAATCACAATTTGAGTTAGTGAAATTGTGCTTCAACATTCAAATTCTTACCTAAAAATCGGTTTGAAGATAACATTAACCCTAAAATTCCCGCCTTTAATTTGACCCGGGGTCAGTCGTTTAGGATGATGACCCCCCCTAATGTAGCATCTACATGCAAATTGTACAGTATACATTTTTAGACCAATTTCATACTTTATACCGCAAGGGTTAAAATATTTACGGGTTAAAAATATACAAAATTAACAAAATATATGCAAAAATAAAAAAAAATATTTAATATAAAAAATATATATAGTTTATTAATTATTTTTTTTAGTAATTGTTATATTCTATCAGCGTATATAATAATCGCTTCAGCTTATGAATTGCGCTGTGAATAAAATTTGAATTAAAAGTAAACAGAGAGGTAATTCTGTTAAACACCTTCGTTGGTACAAATGATTTTTGATTACTACCTGCTCGAGCAAGAGTCGAGCCTTCAGACTAGAGGCTACGGAAATTAGAAAGTAAATTATTATATATATAATATATTAATTAATAATTACTTAATTAGTTAATTATTTGTGATATATCTTATCATTATAATTATAAAAAATAATTTTAAAGAACTTTTTTTTTCATAATTGCAATTAAATAATTATTTTGTATATATTATGTAATTATTATGTTTATTATATAATTTTTTTATTAATATATTTATATAATAATCCTTATATTTCGTGGCCCGTATCTAATGTTTTGTGTTAATTAACTCGGTATAATTAAAGTGCAAAATATACCGCTGCCTTATAAGTAAGTATTAGCTCTGTTAGAAAATATCAAGCTTAGAACATTTAAATATGTTAAAATAAATACGAGGCTATTTATAATACAGATTTAATAACAATAAAAAAGACACAGATGGTATAAAACACTAATAAATGAAAATTCCCGTTCACATTGAATGTATGTAATAAAATTATACTGTGGCTCCGAGTCGTTTGAGTGTAAATGTTATAAAATGGCGAAGGATTCAGACATTCAGCCAATTATTTTATATTACTCTAGAAATATTAAACTTAAAGATATTAAAATAGATTACTTCTAAAGCTGTGAGATTTTAAATTAAATTAATGCAATTAATTCATTAAATAAATAAACTTAATTAATAATTAATTCAAGTTACGTAGTAATTGTTTCCCGCGTGTATGTCAATGGATTTTTGTTTCTCAATCGGGATCCGTATAATGGGATTTGGTGAGGATTATGTGTGGATTATTTTATGCTACTAGTATACGTTTTTCAGTACTAGTATAGCTACAAGCAAAATACGATCTTATCATACATATATAAGGTTGATTTTAGATTGTGTGGTGATCGAAGAGAATTTCATTCCGTAGGAAATAAAAATATCGTATACGGCTTTGCTTTATCATCGCGATGTTGTAATTAGTTTTCGGGAAACGTTCAAACGTAATTATTCCGTTTGTCATTTTTTTTTACTTAAATTATTTCGTTTCAAGAAATTAAGATATTATTTTCGTTACATATAGAATAACTTTTTTAGGAAGTTGATCTATTATAATAAATAATTATTTCAATTTAAATGTGTTTATAATAGTAGAGTAATTATTAAAGTACCTAATACGTTCAAAAAAATCCTTTAAATCTAGAATATTAGATTATAGTTCCATTCATTTCAGTCTCTATCCATTCAATTTTAAAGCCTATTTTTTAATTTTATGACAGTAAAAAATATTCAATATAAACTCTTGACAGTATAGAATCAATATTATTCTGTACGATTATGAAAAATATGACTTAAGATAATATAAACATGTTTCTTTGTTAAAGATTATTTATTAAATATATATAAATATGTATATATGTATCGACAGTATAGATAATATTCTGAAAAATTACAACTTACAATACACCCAATGTTTATCTTATCGAGTGACGTAACGTCACATAATAAAATCATACAATATTATTACAATCATTATATTAATATTATAATTCATATTTAATATTAGTCTTCCTCATTCAAATGAAAAACCTAAGAGACACTTGTATGAAATTGCTCGCAAACAAATGCATCGCTGGAACAATAAAATCTATCAGGAATCATATTATTGTGTTACCTATACAAAGTGATTGTCACGAGACGGATGGTGGGGGGTGTGGGCGGGGCCAGCGGCGGGACACGCCCACACACACCGTAAGGTCCACATTACACAGGACGGTTCGCGGAGCACGGCTTTAGGGAGCAGAAGGCGCGAGGCAGCCGGAGTGTGCGACTGCCTTAATACACACCCGCGGTCCGGTCGGTTCGCACGTTCGTTATCATTCAAATTCGAATTTCGAACGCGCTTCGATAGAACGGCGAATTCGAAAATCGAATTCCTAGCATGCATAGCGATTATTGATTTGAACATCGAATTTGGAACACGTAGAGAGAATTATTGATTTGAATGTCGCATTCGGAACATGTATGAGAACTATTGATTTGAATTTCGAATTAATGTGTTATGAATAGTTCGTTATTTTGAAAATGGAAGTAAGTGCGATGCCGCCGATGCCTTTGGACTTTTCTATGGTTCGTAGCGGGAGCTCGCCGACCACTCTGAGAGAGTCCCCGAGACCCGTCTCCAACAGCGCCTTCAGGGTCGTCACCCCCAAAGGTGAGATGATAATATAATTTTAAATTAATTCCTTACTTTATATATTATAGTTATAAGTGTATTGCGTTTTATTTAGTTTAAATTTGTAGTACTAACTATATGTTATTTTTAATTATACATATACATGTATATACCACAGAAACAGGACTTAATTAGATTTTTATTCGTTCTATTTACAAAATAGATGCATATATTTTTATCAAACGTTCCAAAAATTTTCTAGAAACACATGACAGAAGAAATGTCATAGTTCACAAATGTCATATTTGTATAAGGCAATTAAAAAAACTGTTTTATTATCATGTTACTTACATGATATTTTCCTTCACACACACAATAAACATGTCATGATATTAGTTATATGTAATATAACAGATAATAAATGATGGATATATTTTATATACTGTTAATCAAGATATAAAACCTTTATAGAATTATTAATAAAAAAATATATTTTAAAAATTACAACTCTTTTTCCAATGGAATAAATGTGTAAATTATTAATTAAAAATGAAGATTCAATATTTTTTTTAACATTTACTAAGTCGTAATATTATAAAATGGTTATATGTTATGTATCTAATAAAATGTATTGAGCAGAAATATTATTACATATTATTCTACATAATGATTATTTACTTAAAATTGCTTGGAAATTCAAACTTCTAAAGAATATTTTTTTAATCTTACAAAACTTATGTCTACGACATATTTGTCGATATTGTAATAATATAACAAAAAATTGGATGATTTTTACGATTCTTTTGTATAAAGAAAATTCAATTTCGTTAAAGAATTTAAAAGAAAAATTATTTATATAATAAACAAAAATTTTGAAAACAATCTTGCTGCTTTTTTTAACAATATATAAATAAATAATGGGTCAAATTAATTTAACCGGTTCAAACAACTTCTTTTAAAGATGTATTTTAACATTTATATCTGTCAATACTACACATTTTATTAAACAGTTCCTTTTAATTTAATTATAAGATAACGCATATTATTCCTAGATCTTCTAAAATCATTATATCGGTAGGTACATTTTTACAAAATATATAGTAAATATGATTGGGTCGACCCTATAAAATTAGAATCATTCGCAAATTGATTGTAAATTGCACGACGATCAAAATGCAATTTATAAATTTTAATATTTCATCAAAACTTAAATTTATTTAATAAGTCATTTACAAATTTTCAAATTTACAATATATAAATTATTATTTTATGAAGGAAACGTAAACTGAGGCTTTAGGACTGTGAAAGGCCAGTAAGAGTAACATCTCGATCAAGTTTTAAGTATTCATGAAAAACCTAAAATACAGTCTGTTTTAAAGTACCTAAAAGAGATCATGTTCATTATATATTATATAAATATGTATATACATAATATCTATTAATGCAAATATATTATTTACATATCTTTTAATATTTCAAAATAAATTTTGATCCAGTTTGTCATATTTAATTCTTATGCTTTATAAGCGTAAAATTAACTATTAAATATCTTTTTTTATGGAAAGACAACGTTTTGGCTGTAGAATTTTATACAAATGAAATATGATTTCAAAAAATTGCGAAAACTAGAAAAAGAGGATATAAAAAAGTATTACCTATCCATTATTTCATAATATTCCATAAAAATAACTTTCTTCAGTCAATTGCAATTTATTCCCGAAAATTATAATTGCTAGGTATATCAAATATATAACAATTACATAGCAATTCTATAGTATTACCATTTATGATTCCAAATATGGAAGTATGAAGAATAAATATGAGAGGCATAAGTGGTACATTACAGACCTCTTCGCAATCAATAATGACCCATTATGCCCGGTGATTGGTCAAAGGTAAATTGTAAGTTGGGTTAAAAAAAAAACCCGCTCGCCTCCACCGGCGATCTTATTGATATGTGAGTTAAAATTTTGATGTTAGTTGTTTAAAAGGGATATTATTATTTTCATATTTACATTGTAATGAAACTTATATAGATTTAAATTTTAATAAAATAATATTGGGAATAATAATAATATTCTTTCGTATATATATTTCATGTTTATACAAACTTTGATTTAATTAAAACTATATTATATGCAATGTCTTAAGTTTATCTTATATACTTTATAATTATAAGATTATATTTAAATTAAAATTTATTTATAGAAATGCATTTTTCATTCACTCTATTAAGGATACCATGTCTTCATAAGCAAACCAGTTAGTTATATAATAATATAACATATATAGGTATATAATTAATTTTCCCCTTAATATTTTATTTTAAAACCACCCTCTAATATATAATATAAATTATATATCTTTAATTGAATATTATACATACATTTCTGGCTTTTTAAATCCGTTTACTACTAGTCTACTTAGTAAAAGCTTGCCTCTACTACAAACGAATCGTTTTCAGTCTTTTATTAATAAATAATCGCTAATTAGGTATCGTTCAATCACTATAGGAAAAACGAAGAAAGCTTGGCATAGACATAGTATGACGAGCAAAGTTGTGGTAAGCATGAAAGGATCTTAAATAAAATAAGTTTGTACTTAAATATAAAGTTATTGGAGTCTCCTTTTAAGCATATGAAAAGCCTGTGCCATTAAACTCCGCTCTTCCATATCACGAATTAGGTACAAGTATACAAGATATTTAAGGTACAACAATAATAAAGAAACAATATTAAAAAGTAATAATAAGAGAAGTAATTACCAAAATCTTAGTATTGTTCTATAAATTTGAATACACGCCTTCATTACCCTCAATGAATTTAATACAATTCTTCTATGTTACACTAAGTCTTCTTTTTCTTGATTTGTTATCATTTCTTCTGCGTTTAACTCCATCCAATACGTATAACATTTTTATTTTATTAATATACTTAATACTAACTACTATACGTCACTTTTATTGATATATAAATTGCAATTATTTAAAATTATGATATAGGTAATTTTTATTCATCAGTAATGATATTTATTTAAATTATTAATTTTAAACATATTACATAATACTTTTTTATATGCATACCTCTTCAAGTTTATAAAATTTTTAAATATAGAAGTTTTTTATAAAATTAAAATATAATATTCATCTATTATTTTTTTATGAATTAAAGCATTAATCGTGTATTAAAGTAATTATACTAAATAAAAAATAATAAATGGCTTTACACATTTTGGGTTTTTTATGTGTCGAGACAAAATGAATATTTTACAATCTTGTAAAATATAATTAATGATATTAAATCAAAATAACAAATTTTAACTACTGAATAACTCAATATAAGACAGACACACTTTATCATTTTTAATTTTTAACGTACATAAAGAATGAAATCACTAGTAACCCAAATTTATATTAAAATATTACTGTAACTGACAATACGCCTGCCATTACTACTTCTCCTTAACTTATCACTAACAGTATTCACGTTATCCATTCAATATATATAACGGGATATTAAAATTTGCTTTATTTGAAAATCAAACAAGAAAATGTATGAAAAATTGTTACGTATTCATTGAATTTGAAATAATATTTGGGTTAAAATAAAATTACATTTATATATACTACTAGTATTTTTAATACTAATATTTATGATACATACATTTATAATTTATTCGTAAATCGTTTGTTATTTCGTTGAAGACGTACCTAATTCATGATATCACACAAAGCTTCCTGCTATAAAATCTCAAGAGCTTATATAAAAACAATTAATATGATGACTGCAACATGTGTAATCCTAATAATTTTCCGTCCTAGACATCTGATCCCGGACATAATCCGATTTGTCTGATCGAACACCGGCCTTTATTCAATTTTCCCATTATTTCTGTACGCGACTACCGGATACATTGATTTTTAATGTGATTGCATGTTGTTTTTTTTTACCTCAAACACAAATATGCGACCATATTGAAGCGATTATAAGTATATTTATATATAAAACAGAAAAAACGGAATGTATTAAATAATATTACGAATGCAATTTAAGAGCATATTATATGATAAGATTTAGGAAGTGTTCGCAATTTGTCATACTATAAATGTTCTTCTATCTTAGTATATTGTACCTTCAGCGTATTTCCTCTGATTTTCGTCTGTCAGTCCATCATCACGGATGGAAATGCAATTCCACTGGACTGAACGACCCTAAACGAATTACCGACACGCGTCTATTGTTGGCTCGATTTATTTATGTTCAGGACCAACTGGCTCTTAGTATCCAAGCGAAGTCAGATAAAACCTTAGTTAATAAAGGAACTCAAAATTATATCTTACTAAATTAATAATGATAATATTTGTTGAGATTTAATGAATTTTAAATATCTATATAACTATATGATGTGTAATAAATAATGATGAAACATCAATCACTATGAAGTCCTATGTTCCCATCTCAGTTCGCACATGGTGTCACAAAAGGATAATAATCCCGTCCTTGAGAACAGCCACATCCGCTTCTCACACAACGAACATTAAATCTTAATGCGCAATAAAAATTAAAAACATATCTGTCAATCACCATAACAAAACAACTAAACATCGATTTAAAATAGACTGAAAGCAATTAATTGCATTTAAACTTTAATCATATGCAATTTGTTAGTAATATTATGGAATGGAATGCAATGCAATTTTCGAATTGAAATCTTTAACTGAAAAATGACTGTAGATTGTGACTAAAGGAATTGTCTTCAACCAACCCTGTTCTGATTCTGAGGAGGATCCTCCCATTAGGCTAATGGCACACACGTGGCGTAAATCCCAACGCATTATAAAAGGCGATTTGTGCCCAAATTAATTATTAATGGGCCCTTTGAACCGGTCCACATGATTGCTGTATTGTCAGGATTTTTGACAAAGATGAGATTTTGTATTTTTTTAATTAAAATAAAAATATTTGAAGTAAATGTTTAAAATAGTAACAATAAAATAAATTCTCGTCTCTTTGATAAAGACAATGATCGTAAAAATGAAC